CTGAGGCGGGCAATACACCAGGAAGGCGATCTTCTTTGCTGCATCTGCAGCAAGAGTCTCCTCTCCCACCAGCTCGCCTGCTGCCCTGCAGCAGCAACAGCAGCAGCAGCAGCAGCAACAGCAGCAGCAGCAGCGGCAACAGAAGCAGCAAATAAAATCACAGAAAAACAGCAGCAATGCAACGAAACAGCGTCAGCAGCAACTCGTATAGCAACAGCAGCAAAACTAACGGCAGCGGAAGCAAGAGCATCAGCAGCAGCAGGAGCAGCAGCAGCAAGTGCAGCAGCACCAGCAGCAGCAGCAGCAGCAGCAGCGAATGCAGCAGCAGCAGCAGGAGCTCACGTAGCGAAGAAGAATCTGCTGTTGGTTTGCTGCTCTATTGGTGCTTTCTCTGTCTTTGTTTTTAAATCAGCTGCTGCCTTGCGTTTCTTTTTGTCTTTAGCAGCAGCAGCAGCAGCAGCAGCAGCAGCAGCAGACGTTGAGGAGAGGCAGCAAGACAGCAGCAGACGCTCCAGCAAAGACGACACCGGTTCTAATAAACACAAACAGCAGCAGCAGCAGCAAATGCAGCAGCAGCATGAGCATTAGCAGCAACAGCTACAGCACGAGCGTCAGCAGCAGCAACAACAACAGAGAGGCAAGCAGAAGCATACACCTCAACATTGCTGCTGCTGCTGTTGCTGCAGCTGCTGCTGCTGTTGCTGCTGCTGCTGCTCACCATTTGCTGGTCGATTTAAAATTATTCTCCGCCCTTTCCAAAATAGCTGCAGCTTCAGACGCTGTGCTGCTGCTGCTGCTGCTGCTGCGCCTTCTGCTGCTGCTGCTCCTGCTGCTGCTGCTGCTGCTGTGTCTGCAGCTGTTTGTTTTGCTGCTGCTGCTGTCTCCCCAGAAATCGTCAGCAGGACAGGACCCCCATAACAAACAGAAGCAGCTGTTGGTGCTTCTGCTGCTGCTGCAGCTGCTGCTGCAGCTGTTGCTGCAGCAGCACCGTCTGCTGCTGCTACTGGCTGCGGCATCGGTGTAGTGTCGGCAGCAACAGCAGCAGCAGCAGCAGCCCGCAGGAGATTTGATGTAGAAAAGAGAAAAGACTCACGCAGACGCTGTTGCTGCTGCTGCTGTTGCTGTTGCTGCTGCTGTTGCTGCTGCTGCTGCTGCTGATGTCTTTCAAAGCGCAGCAACGTTGCTGCTGCTCTCCGTTCTGTGCTGCAGTGCAAGCTAGTGGGCCTAAATGATAATAAGCTGCAGTATCTGCTGCTAGTGCTGCTCCCCCTGCTGCTGCCTTTGCTGCTGCTGCTGCTGCTGCTGCTGCTGCAGTATAGAGACTTGTGCAGCTGCGGTGTTGCAGGGCGTCTAAATGCTGCTGAAAAGACAGAAGCTAAAGATATTAGAAAATACATAAAAAGAAAGCCAAGAGGCATTCTAAGCCCTAGGGCCCTTTGCTGCTGCTGCTGCTGCTGCTGCTGCTGCTGCTGCTGGTCCTGCTCCTGCTGCAGTTGTCTCTGTTGCTGTTGGCGCTGTAGCTGCTGTTGCTGCTGTTGCTGCCTTCTGGTGTTAACGGTGTACAGCTGCTGCAGCTTGTGTTGCAGCAGCGGCTGCTGCTGCTGCAGTTTACCTGCAACAAATGCTGCTGCTGCTGCTGCTGCTTGTATGACTCTCAGCAGCAACAACCACACCCTTTGCTGCTAGGAGGCAAATTCAGAAGAGAGCCTCAAAGCAGCTTTAAACCCTAACTACTGCAGCAGTTGCTGCAGCACACAGCTGAGGAATAATAAGCGAGTTAGGGTTTAGGGTTTAGGGTTTAGGGTTTAGAGACAAGGGTTTGTAGAACAGAGGCTAGAGCCTCAAGTGTTTGGCTTAGTGTTAGAAATTCTGCTTAAAGGGTTTTAACCTGGGGTTTAGGGTTTAAGGTTTAGGGTTTAGGGTTTAGGGTTTAGGGTTTAGGGTTTAGGGTTTACGAGTGCATGCAGCCCCACTCCAATCGGAAGACACCTCGAGGAGACCGATGGGCCCCGGGGGTTCTCACATCTTCTAATGTTTGCTAAACCCTAAACCCTAAACCCTAAACCCTGAACCCTAAACCCTAATTTTGTTGTCTGAACTCTAAACCCAAAACCCTCGTCGCTTTTCATTTGCTGCCTTTCGAGGGTTTTTAAGAAGATGAAACCCTAATTCACTAAACCCTAAACCCTAAACCCTAAACCCTTGGGTAGGGGCTCAGCAAGATGTTAAGGGCCCCGTATGCTTTGTGTGCATACAGTCGCTCCTGCAGCGGCGGCAGCAGCAGCTGCTGCTGCCGCAGCAGCTTGAGCAGCAGCAGCTTGAGCAGCAGTAGCAGCAGCAGCAGCAGCAGAGTGCCTCCATCCAGTGTAACCTACACCCCCTCTATCTACGCCTTGAGCAGCAACCTGCACAGCAGCAACCCCAGCAGCAACGCCTGCAGCAGCAGCAGCAGCAGCAGCAGCAGCAGACAATTTGTGCGTTATGTGAGGCACTGGGCCCGAAAAGCTGCTTTAGATAAACAAAGGAGACTGCCTAATCGCAAGCTAAGAGCAGGCAGCTGCGCTGCACCCCTCCCCCTCAACAGCAGCAGCAGCAGCAGCAGCAGCAGCAGCAGCAGCAGCATGAGGGGAGGTTCTTGTTCGTATTTCGGCGACTTTTGTTTGCGAACAAATGCTCTGGGAGGGTTTTGTCTAACGCCTTTATATCCTACCCCGAGCAACCCCACACTGCAGCAGCAGCAGCAGCAGCAGCAGCAGCAGCAGAAGCAGCAGCAGAAGCAGCAGCAAGTGTACAAAGGCTTGGTGTACAGACAGTCTGTCAGCCTTCTACCTAAACCCTGGGCTTTTGAGGGGCCCTGGGGTTTTCAAAGTTTTGAATTTAAAGCGAGAAAACAAAAAGTTAATGCAATTCCTATTCCTAGACACGAAACCCTAAACCCTAAACCCTAAACCCTTCCTAAACCCTAAACCCTAAAACTTCGAAACCTTATATTTTTTTAAACCGTTTAAAGCCCAATAACGCAAAAAAGATACTCCCCCCCTTCCTCAACCAAACACACCCTCTAGGCTAGCTAGCTGGCTAGCTAGCTAGCCTAGATTAACTGGCTAGCTAGCTAGCCTAGATTAACTAGCTAGCTAGCTAGCTTGCTTGAGTAGGCAGCTTAACAATCTGAGGTAGCTAGCTAGGATAGCTAGCTGGCTGGCTAGCAGGATAGATAGCAGGGTAGTTAGCTGGCTAGCTAGCAGGATAGCTAGCTGGCTAGCTAGCTAGCTAGCTAGCCAGGTCTCCGCCGTCTAGTTTAGTAGCTAGCCAATGGAGTTCGAAGCCGAGGCATCTGTCTCCCTTGCTATTCTTCTCGCTGCGCAGTAAGCTGTCTAGCTAGCTAGCTATGAAGCCAGCTAGCTGCGCCAGCATCTAGCTGTCTAACTAGCTAGCTAAACGTATAGCTAGGTAGCTAACTAGCTAGCTAGCCGTCTAGCTAGCTGTCTAACTAGCTAGCTAGCTAGCCGTCTAGCTGGCTAGCTAGCTAGCTAGCTAGCTATTTGTTTTAGAGTTTATTGTAGAGATTGCTGAGGGTTTTAAACCTTGAGCTCTGTACATCGAAACAGCCTCCGCGTCAGCCACCCGTGGAGGCAATTCGCTCGTTGCACCTGCACTCACAAACCCTAAACCCTAAACCCTAAACCCTAAACCCTAAGCCATTGCAACCCCATAGTTCATAACCCTCGATGGTCGCAACGGCAGTTCTGGAAATGTAAAACTCTAAACCCTAAACCCTAATAATCATAAACCCTAATAACCCTAAACCCTTAGAAACCCTAAACCCTAAACCCTTGGGTCCCTAGGGCACCCTCAACCGCTGCAAAGCGCACCCCACATCTCTTTCAGCCTTTTGTGTGCAGACCCTTTAGGGTTTAGGGTATAGGGTTTAGGGTTTAGGGTTTGGGGTGTACCTGCAGCAGCGTCTGCCTCAGCCCATAGTTCCTGTAGCTCTCTTTGAATTCTTTCTTCTTCACGCTTCAGCCAATCGGGTTTAATATAAAAGACGCTGCAGCCTCTTGCTCTTAACTTCTCAAGAAAATGTATTGCCTCTAAACCCGGCCGAGCCTAAGATAAACCCGCAGACATAAATTAAGTGTGCTGCATGTACACCTCAACCCTAAACCCTAAACCCTAAACATTTTTATACACACAACCAATCGCTGTTCTTAAGGGCATGCAATGCAGACAAGCTATATATATATATATATATATATATATATATATATTATTAATATAGATATAGGTATATTATATATATATATATATATATTTGTAAGTACATGCATGTATACATGCATATAAATAAATGTAAATACAAACATATACATAGATATATATATTTTTTAAAAAAATATATATATATATATATATGTACGCCGCAACCCCTAAACCCTAAACCCTAAACCCTAAACCCAAACCCCTAAACCCTAAACCCTAAACCCTAAACCCTCGTAGTTTACGGTTTTGGGGAGTACGTCGAATTTATAGGGTTTGACGTGGGCCCTGAGGTTAATAGGGTGTCTGTACACCACGCGAATGCTGCCTCCTACACGTTTGATTGCGTCTACTGCTGATTGATCTGCAGACGAAACCTCAATAACTACTTTGTATGGGAACGGGTAGTCGTTCTGAAGACAAACAGAGACAGAGACAGATACAGAGACAGAGATAGAGACAGAGACAGAGACAGAGACAGAGACAGAGACAGAGAGACAGAGACAGAGACAGAGACAGAGACAGAGACAGACAGAAAAAGGAGATATAAATGCATATATATATTTGCTAGTTTCACACAGAAGAGACGACACAGAGTGCATGCACACAGATATACATGTATATATATATATATATATTTATATATATATTTATTTATTTTATATATACCTATATATATATGCATACGTGCATAGAGAGATAGACAATTAGATAGATATATAGACAGTCAGACGCGTGCACAGCTAGCTAGCTAGCTGGCTAGCTATCTAGCTAGCTGGCTGGCTAGCTAGCTAGCTAAAGTTTGTGGTTATCTTACAACATTGAAAAGATGAACTCCGTTGCGGACTCGAACGCAACCCGAGTCATGCAAATGCCGCTGAGTTATGGGGAACCTGAAACACCCAAACCCTAAACCCTAAACCCTAAACCCTAAACCCTAAACCCTAAACCCTAAACATATGCCGAAAAGCAGCAGCGGACTGTACGCGTGTCAGTCGGTAGTGGGTTGCTGACTGCGCTGCTTTTTGCGGTGTATGTACAGCTGAAGTTGATTGAAGTTTCTGTTTGAGATGTTGGGGTGTATATGCACCTCTAGCCAAGTTGAGGTGTATGCACAGCTTCGCGTCTCTAAGGATGAGGTATACTCAGAGAGTTTGCTGGGGTGTATATGCAGCTATCAGAGAGTTTGTTGGGGTGTATATGCAGGTATTACGCTAAGTTTATATAAAGGTTCAGGTGTATAGGCAAGTCGCTCTTTTTCGGGTGTATATGCAGCTGCCGTTTAAGGATGGCCTAAGTCGTAAAGCAGCTTTAAATGCGGTGTATCTGCAGGTATAATTGGGGTGTATGCACAGCTCTTTACCCTCAATTCAGGTGTATATACAACTCAAACTCACCGGTAGTCGAGACGTCCTTGCTCTAAAAATCGCCGCACCTTCGCTAAATTCAGCGGCTCCCAACGCTTGCGGCGCCTGCGTAATAAACACTAAACCCTAAACCCTAAACCCTAAACCCTAAACCCTAATGGCTAGACTCTGGAGCGTAAACCCTGAACCGTAAAGTTGAAACCCTAAACCCTAATCCTTAACCCATAAACCGGCGAGCTTAAACCCAACACCCTAAACCCTACAACATAAACCCTAAACCCTAAACCCTAAACCCTAAACCCTAAACCCTCGAGAACCAGGAAGCCCCGAGAGGTGGCCAGGGTGTCACTGTATAGAAGAAGGGTTGCGCGAGGGTTTAGGGTTTATTGGCTGTTGTCCCGTATTAGGTGTTTACGCTGGAGGGTTTAGGGTTTAGGGTTTAGGGATCCACCGGCTATGTTTCTGCTAGGGTTTAGGGTTTAGGGTTTAGGGTTTACCGTCCTA